CTATGCGCGGCAGGCAGCCACTTTCCTGCATCCCACTTTGCGACGTCACTGATCGGGTCTACCAATAACGCAGGACGGCGTTCAAGCAGCCTCGCACCGTCGACGCAAGCCGCGGTTCGCGTGTAAGTCTATAGTAGCGGGCCCCACCTTCCCGAGTCGTCCGCCCGAGGTGAAATAACTCGGCGTTGCGGGGAAGGCAGGCGACCCCTTTTCACGCATGCTTGAACTCGGGAGTTCTCAAAATAAGCGTCCCTCTGAGCGCCGAGGACTCGTCTTAGTAAACGCCGGAGGGGGATCACAGGGATCGCGTATATCCCCATCAAGATGGCCTTTATTCGCGCGAGACCGGCTCCGCTTTGGCTCTCGACTAAGCGCCCGTTTGTTCGTCTCGTTAGGAACACCGTACAGTGCACACCCGCGTCGGAAGTCAGGCATGCACGACGCGATTCGAGCTACTTCTATGCATTGGAAAGGGTCGCCGGGGCACTTGTGTTTTCCGTTTCCAAAACAAGCGTTAGCGTACGGTATGCGTAACGACTACGTAATTATGCCGTGACGTCCTTCCTGTCTACCAGCACCGTGTGCAAGCCGAAGCAAATTTTTGTTTTGTTTTGTTTCTCCTCCGTTTGAGGCGGTGTTTATCTCCTTCCTAACACCCCGAGAGGTGGAGTCATTTCTCAGTACGTAACCAGGCGTTTCAAACAAAATCGCTTTTACTGTTGGGTCATCCCTAAACCACATTTAAATTTCACTCTAAAAAAAGCCCGTGCGTCTGCTTTCCCGCACAACACTCGGAGAGCCAATCACCGCAACTGCGCAAAAAACGCAGTCTGAGTTGTGACATTAAGCAATGCAAGCGTGACGTTTTGCATTGCTTAATGTCACAACTCAGACTGCGTTTTTGGTCTAATCATATGTTTCGGCATTGTCATTCGCTGAGCTGCGTCCGTAAGTTGCGGTTATTGGCTCTCCGAGTGCTGGTGCGTGACGTAGACGCACAAACTTTTTTTTAGAGTGAACAATAAAATTATTTCCCAAGACAGACAACACCCCCCCCCCCCCCCCCCAAGCAAAACAAATAATAAAAACAATTGGCTGCTGCTAGGGTTTTTCGTTGTTGTTTTTGTGTGAAATTAGTGTTTGACGCCGATCATTCCATCTTGAGATGGCGTATGACCAAGGAAAGCGACGAACTCATTCGCTTAATGTGCGTTCCACGTCGATACTTTGAAAACGAAGGATCAGGACTGTCTGCGATGCGAGTTCACCCAAAACAAAGTAACGGCAGAAGTCTGCAATAGGCGGCGTGCTACTTCGAAGGTGGTCCACCGCCGGCCCCCCCACGAAGCCAGCACGTGCAAGGGCGGCCTCTCGTGATCACCTCGACCGTGTCGATAATCACAAAGTAATCCGACTGCTCGTTCCTTCCTCCTCGACTTCTCCCGTGTCCTCTCTACTCCTCCCAATGCGCCCGAGACGATCAGTCTGTTCCCTCGAGTCACAGTCACAAATCATTCAAACAATCATTACATCTATGCATTGCAACTATAATACTACACGCGGCATTCTCGGATAATTCGAGTGACGTCCCATAGAAGATAAATCCTACCCGCTCTTTCTTTAGGCACGCTGACTGCGTCATTGACTTGTAATATGCTTGCACCCTGCAAATACTTTTTTTTTATAGCGCCCAGATAAAAGATTTTTTAGAACGAGCAAAGAGTAAAATCTCAAGAATAGTGCCGCATCACCTGATACACCGACGCGGCACCAGTCAAACTTAATTATTCCCACAACTGCGGTAATCACCCCAACATATGTCGGTGCTCCTCGGCGCTATCCGTGAGCCGAGGCACGCTGACCCCATCGTAGTGTGAACAGGGTCGTTAGGGTCGTTTTGCGTCAAACAGTGCGAAGGTATACTGGTCCTCATGTGCCTCGGCCGCAGGGGACTCCGTGGAGCGAATACGCTGTGAACAACCGACCGACTTCGTCCGGTGTCACGTTCGCTTTTTATGCAACGCAACATCCACTGTCCTGACGCAACGCGCAGATCACATGCCATCGATTCGTGACTTTATTTCGCGAATAAAGGCTGAATTCTATGGAGCTCAGCCTTTAATCGGCAGTGCGCGTCGGTTGCCGGTTGTCAGAAGCGCAGGTCATGAATTTCGGATATCAAAAATGCTGGCATGGTTCGCTGGCACTTCCCTTGAGGATCGAAATCACGGTTTAGTGCTCCGTTGCAACCACCATTGTGATGCAGCTGTACACATATTCCCGAGTGCACGAACTAGCAATCTCGCTTTTCAGTGTTTTAGGGCAGTAACGTGAAGCGTGTCTTTCGTAAAATGTGCTTCCTTTCTCACAACGAACCCGCACGTGGCTGAAACCAGAAGAAAACTCGCCGCATCCAACGACTGAACAAACAGCCCCACGAATCACGTAGTACCATATATTTCCAACATGGTCGCTAACCGTCCATACCTCGCAGCCCTCTCAAGACTTGCACGTATACAGTACCGTATCGCAGTGCAAGGTTTTGCCGGACTTCCTGGCAGAAACGCTTTCCGCGGAGTCCGGCGACTCTTGCGTCGTCCGCGGCGGCCCACACCCACGGGGAGTCCACGGACGTAGCGGCCCACGCAGCAGCCGAGCCGAGTTGAACGACGGCGAGCGTCGTGAACGAAGCTGCCGTGCCGGGCGCACGAAGCAGGGGGCCAAACGCGAGTTCGTGACGACTCCCGCGACCTAGCGCCGACGTCGTGATTCACGAATCAAAGGGCGCGACCCGCCAGGTGTCCCTCGAGTTGCGCCGTTCCTCGACGAAACCGCTACCCGGAGGTTTTCGAACGGAGAGAGGAACGCAAATGCGTCTCGACTGGAAAAGGACCCGTACGAACCTCCGACATTTTTCGGAGTTTAATTCGGGTGAACAGCTGACCCCACTCGTTCCGCAGACACGAGGAAGCATTTCTTTTCCTCGAAACCAGTAGTAGGGCTTTTGATCCGAAGTTTTTTGAACGGGACTATAGATTGTTGCAAGTTTAGGCTACAGCAGGATAGGCCCCTCCCACAAAGGTCTCTGCTCGCCATGATTGCTGGTTTCCCCCTTTCCACTCCCCTCTGTTCGCTCTGCTAAAGTGGAAAGAGTAAAGGGTTTTTTCGGGAGGAGCTTGCCCTGGTATTCTTAACCTGTAACAGACTACAGCCGCGCTCTGAACAACGTGGATGGAGGTGTATATGCTTCCACGAAGCCTTCCACGTCGCGATCGCATCACTTTTGGCCGATGCGCAACATTTGAGGCTCGGCTACATCAACGTTGCGCTCGCGAGCGTTCAGCGATCCCCGTCGCCGTCTGGACGTGGGGTATACCGCGGGTAAAAGCCCGATAGGGGCGGTCCCGAAAATGTTCCAAGCCTTCGCACACTGTGTGGGTTGCCAAACGCTCCTTCCGCAACGAAAACCGGAAGCGGCGTCTCTCTAGGTCTAGGGCGGTCTTTGCATGTGTAGGTGTTCGACAGATATGCTCTAGCGCATCAAAAGACAAACCTGCAGTGACAAACTGCGGTACAGACTGTCCAGCACAAGCCGATGTAAAATAAGTATACTTCGTCTCATCCTACGATGGACTAAAGGCCAAAGCCACGGGCCGCCAGGTCCAATCACGTTTCACGCTAAATTATGACAGGCTTAGCATTGGTTAGGTTTGGACGAATAATGCTCCGAATCCAAAAACACTGCGTCATTTTATAGCTTCGACACTGCAAAGAGCCAGAAAGCCTTAGCTTTCTTTGCAATGTAAAATTGTTGAGTCACTCAATGCTCGATCCGAACCACTGTTGGCCCATTCCCATCAGTGATCCGAGATGCGGACACGGACACGTGCTTCGAAGCGAAATATCACACAATGTCTAAGTGGCTCGTGATTGGACCCGGCGGGTCGTAGCTTATGCCTTTAGTCCATCGTAGGGTGAGACGAAGTATAGTAGATACGTCTATCAACTCCTCTTGGATTACCATAGCGCTAAACCATGCATATATCGAAGGGACTTTGCCTTGGGTCAAGCTTCTATATTGTGTAGCTAAATCTGCGTTGCTATGTCACAGGTGTGTCCAATTCACGCCTTTCGGGAAGGAAAAAGCGAGCTAAAATGACGTTAGCACCGACGATCAAGTGGTTTTTATACGCATTACGGTTTTATACGCTTGAAAAATGTAAGCATAGCATCTTAAATCAAGTCCTACGTCGTGACCACGCGTTCAGAAATGTTCGTAGCAGTTATTCCGGTTAGAATTCTATAAAAGGACAACAGATGCCTCGAAAGGTACGCGTGAATCGACACCCCGTTAAGGCATAAACGTCACGAATACAACGACCAAATCTTACGGCGCATTTATCCCCCAAGGTACGCGAATAACTCATCCGATGAACAAACCGTGAATCGTGCTCACTGGTGGAGGCGCAATTACGCACTTATCTGGGACTGAGACAGATGCATGGGAACGTGACGGCTCCGTAACGACGCTCCGGTCGGCCAATCGAAATGCGCCCAGGGAGCGAGACCGACCAATCCGATTCTTGATCGAGTCCCTCTCCTTGAACCTCCATAAGAAACACAAGAAAAGCTAACAATAATCTTGCGGCACGCCGTGAACAGACCTCAGCACACTTTGAAACGCGTGCCCCGACGTTGAAAGAAAAAGGGTGGGCCCAGGAACTTGTTTTCAAGCTCCAGGTGTGAAAAACGCTTTTGCATATCATCAGCTGGCTACGGCTTCATAGACAAGGATCCCGAAGACTGTTGGGCAGTCCTCGGCGAGTCTTTCGACCTGTCGAGTTGTCTGGCTACCGTGTCTTCCGGGCAGCGGACTGATCGCAGCACCTCACCACGTGCCTGGACTCGGGATCTGGAGTGAGCAGCGGGCTTTCCCGCGCGGTGAACGTTGCGGAAACCTGCTTACGATCGTCTGCTGCCTTGAGATAAGATGTGTAGACCTTAACTGCGCAACCGATTTTCGTGGAGGCTGCTTAACAAGTACGATGAACAGGGCAAGAAGGACCGATGTTGGCCCGAGGCGAGATAGCCGTCGCATGCATGCGCTGATGGCCGAAGAATTCCGGCGGGAAGCGGAACAGGAAGACGACCCGGAGGGGGCAGTCGACAACGGCGGTTCCGACGCCAACACTGATTGCGACGGCAACGACTCTGACGCCAACAACACCGACGAAGAACTGAGGACCGCCAACGAGTTCCACTGGCCTTTGGACATGCTCCAGGAACAGTTCCGCATCCTCCAATCTCGGATCGTGGACGAAGTTCGGAGGGCGATAAGGGAGGAGTTTGACGAGATGCGCTCGGGCGTGAGTAAAGACGACCTCTGTGTGATAGACGTCTCGACAGGCGACTTGCCAAGTGCTACTAGACGTGGAGTTCTATTTCGGGAGGGGTCCAGAGAGGGTCACCGTTCGTTTTGAACTATCTATCAGGCAGCACCTCTCAAGCGCGTGCCTTGTGGGTTCCGGGAATTTGAAATAGTGAAGGAAACCAACCCCGAAACCAAAAATATCCGCGTTCACTACCCACCGGAGCGTGAGTTTGCTGTATGCAATGAGCGTCCTTTCCCATACGGTCAAGTCCACTCCGCGCCCGGGTAACGAGTTGATTCGTTGACAGCCGTTCGCTGACACGATACATAGTGCTTTCGAACCAATGCGGAGTCCACCAACTTAATTGCGCTTACGACTTATTTTGTTGTTGCTAGGATGGAAGTGCTTACTTGAGAGAAGGTGTGAGGGTTGCACCTCAACAACCCCCATTCCCCTCGTTTAGACCGCGGGTGCTATATGGTTAGAGACTTTCCCGTGATGAGATTGAGTAACCGGTCAACTGAAAATGTGACTTGTGCGCTGGTTCCATTGTTGTTGTTGTTGTTGTTGTTTTTGTTTGCTTTTTTCCCTCTCTTTGCGCAGGAGTTCCGTTAGAAAAGCATAGCCAAGGACCCAGGAGCGCAAATGAGTGTCACATGATACCGAGGGGTTGCAAGCTCTTGAAGCGCCAACCTTCGTTTATTGACATCTCAGATTAATCATTGAACGGAGATGGCCAACCTAGACAGGATTACCTTTCAAAGGTTTTGTTTGAAGAGTCAAAGTAAACATGAACTGCAGTAGAACCACCTCAAAGTGATGATCTCTTCCCAAATATGCACTTTTCGTAGATCGTTCCGGTAGATCCGATAAGGACACCCGTTCCTCCGCCGGCGCACATGCATCGTATCGTTCTAAGGCATCGGTATCAAAACGATGTAAAAAGAAAAAAAAAAAAAACTCTTTTTAGTAACTTATTACACCAGTGCTGCAACTGTTACTAAAAAAAGTTCCACATGGTGTTATTTTTAAAAGGCTTTCGGAAACACAAATCGCTTCATTCGAAACAGAGTGAAACATCCAAAAATAAAACAACTCATCTCACTAATGTGAACGTGTATGAGGTTAAGCCAGGTATTTTGACGTTCTTTGTTGTTTATTCAAGAGAACAATATTTATTACAATTCATTATTTAAACCGTTTCATGAAGTGTGCTCGAAAGACGGGAGTGTTTTTATTGCGCAGACAATTTAATCAAAGAAAACGTAAAGTAGTTTTCGTACCGCTGCAGCCTAGGGTTGAACTCGTGCGTTAATACTAATTGTAAGTATTAATGAATCGGGCTCATTTTAAAAGGTGAGAAATATAAGTAGCACAGGCCGTCTTGAAACGGGAGCTTTTGGCCTTGCCGACGTTCACTCTTAAAAAAAAAAAAAAAAAAAAAAAAGCCTGTGCGTCTACTTTCCCGCACAACACTCGGAGAGCCAATGACCGTAACTTACGGGGGCAGCTCAGCAAATGACGATGCCGAAACATATGTTTATACCAAAATACGCAGTCTCAATTGTGACATTAAGCTATGCAAGCGTGACGTTTTGCATTGCTTAATGTGACAGTTCAGACTGCATTTTTTGGTCTAAACATATGGTTCGGCATCGTCATTCGCTGAGTTGCCCCCGTAAGTTGCGGTGATTGGCTTTCCGAGTGGTGTGCGAAAAAGTAGACGCACGGACGTTTTTTAGTGTGTTCGCCCGCCTGCCCGTTTTTATAGGGCGCTTCCTTCCTAAGCGCGGCTGCACTGCGGCAGAGCAACCTGCCTGGAAGCTGAAACCAGATGGTCATGAAAAGTTTTCGCGTAAAGCCTGCGACTATCTTTTCTATACTAGTATTTTAGGTACGTCGTTTCTCTTGTACTTACGGTAACTTAACGTGGTAGTTTGCCAACTTATTTGATGAAGAAATTATTCTCTGTACTTCAAAAATCCTCTCGATTGCGTTTCCTGGTCCGCAACCTCGGACACAGATGCCCTGCATGGTACAAAAGCAGCACCAAATACTACGTTATATGTGCAATACCTAATGGGACAGAAGTTTAACCTCCAGCAAGTAATACAAACGTGCTTGCTTTAGGCTGGCCCTCCTCCTGTGCCGAGGTTTAAAGACGAAATCCACGCGGTTCGGTTCGGAAGGAGGGATCAGGCCTAAAGTGCGATAAAGATTTCTTCAACGTTCCTTTACAAAACCATCCGGTAGCGAGGAGACAACAGTGACTTTCGTCAGCACTGCCACACCTATCGTATTAACCACTATCTCCGACAAAAAAAAAAAAAAAATGAGCAGTTTCGGAAAATTGTTTGCAAAGTTGCCTGTTTGGTCCTGGAGTTCTCGGCCCTCTTTGTGATCGGTCGCTGTCGTACCCCAGATGGCGACACCCCCGGGATCACCGGCGCCGAGTTCGCCAGTACCACCGACCTGCTTCGAGGGCCAGTTCAAGGCCTTCGCAAAGTTCGGCGACAGCAAGAGCACGGGAGACGCCATCACGCTCTCCAACAGCGACAAGTGGTTCAAGCAGGCCAAGGTCATCGACGGCAAAAAGATCACCACCACCGACACCGGCATCTACTTCAAGCAGGTGGCCAAGTAAGAGCATTCTCGCTGCGCCGGTCCTGGAGTGTGCAGAGCGTCAGGAGGCTCCCCTACGCCCTGCGCAGTCTCTGTGTCGCTACGTGCACGTGATTATACCGCTGATCATATACCACATGATCCCGAAGGACAGAACCCGCGTACCTCATGCGTAAACTCCGCCTTCGATGCCTCTCTGGCTGTGCTGTTTCTATAGAAGTTTTCCACATACTCTGTACAGTACGCCACAAGAGAAACATGCAATCACTGAAACCGATAAATTGTAGCGTCTTCAGCGCTATATATATATATGTCTAGGAACTTACATGAACGATCTACTTCATCCATAGACGACAAGCGGTCCTCCAACACGCACGCTGAAATTTTTTTAGAGCCCAGCTCTTAGGCGCCCGTCTCCAGCCTGAGCGGCGACGGCGTCGCCGTAACCGCGCGGTGCATTGTGGGAAACGTCCCATAGTGCACCGCGGTGATGCGCGCGTTGCATTATGGGACGTTTCCCATAACGCACCTATACGCACCATAACGCTCCCCATCCTCCTACCCCTCCTCCCTCCCATAACGGGAGGGAGGAGGAGTAGGAGGATGGGGAGAAGGAGGGAGAAGAGGGAGGAAAGAGGAGGGAGAGGGAGGAGGACGAGAGGAGAAGGGGAGAGGAGGAAGAGGGGGAGGAGGAGAGGGTACGAATGAGGGGAAGGGACATACCGTCCCCTCCCCTCCCCCTCAAGAGCTGCGCTCTAATTCGGCATTACAGGGAGTTGTAAAAGTCTTTCTTCTTTTTTTTTTCTCGTTTTTCTGGGGGGGATTGTACAACCATGATGAACGACATATAGACCTTTGGAAGGAACCTCTTGGAAGCCTCAGTGTGAAACACAACGTTGCGCCAAGGAACTTAGATTCTTCAGCTCTCAAGAAGCTTAGCGAAACGTCGGCAGCCTCTCTGAGACTTGCAGGAGGTTCCGCTCAGTCCTTTTCACCAGCTTTGTTCCATTTTTACTTCGTTTGGATATGAAAAGATGAAATTTGAGTTGACGATTTACCAAGCTAGTATAATTCCCCTTACATCATTGTGTGAACCACGTCGGATGTTACAAGTCATCCGAGCTCATTCACGGCCGGGAGCGTGTAGTATACTGTAGGTCCATTAGCGCTTTACTAGTAGTTTAGACCCCCTGGGGGGGGGGGGGGGGGGGGGGGGGCGTTGGAATTGGGTCGCTAAGTGGCAGTCGTGCCTCGAAGTAAATGCCTTACGCTCCACGTAGCCTTGTGCTCGGCTAGAACGCGTGGCACCAGCGGCGTAGACTTTCCATTTTCCCGGGGGGGGGGGGCAGGCTGAGAAGTTTTCCGGGGTGGGGGGGTGCTTTTCTGCGCAATTTTTTTTTACACCGGCAATTATCAGTAGTTTATTTTAAGGGGTACATTTTACAGCATATGTAGATCGCCATGTGTCCGTCGCTGTGTGTCATCATCATCATCATCATCATAATGCCTTTATTTGTGCCAATTAACAACCAACAAAGGTCTACAATGTGGCACAGTGAAAAAAAAAAAAAAACAAATTGCACAACTGTAAAACATTCTCAACTGATAAAACTAGCATGCAACAAAACACGACAGTACATTTTTAGCGACGGAAAATAATCTCATCTAAAGGCCCGTTCACACTCTTGCGACCGAGTACGACCGAGAGAGACCAGACCGGTTTTTAAGCCTCTTGCGATCTCTTAGGACCAGCTCCGCTGCATCGCATCCGGTCTTAAGAAGTCGCAAAAGGCTTAAAAACCGGTCTGGTCTTTCTCGGTCGTACTCGGTCGCAAGAGTGTGAACGGCGCTTAATTGTCTACTGAGATTGACGTAGCTATAAAAAATATCAAACTTTTCATGCCCAAGATTGTTTACACTTGTCTGCATTCTTGTTGTTGGTGATGTCATGTGTTGATTGTGGGGATAAAAAGTGAGAGCTGTCCTATTTGAGCGAGTCGGTACGTTAAAGTTCACTGTGAACAAAAGTGTTGAGTCAATGTCCCCGTGAACTATTTTATATAAGAAGGCAACATCGCGCGATAATCTTCTGAGTCCAAATTTGTCGAGCAGGAGTTTATAGTTGTAAAAATGCCTTCGGCCAAGGTATTTGTCATAGATTATGCGCACAAAACGTCTCTGAACTGACTCTATTTTAGCTGCATCACGTAGTGTCAGTGAATTCCACACCACAGAGCCAAAGTCTAGTCTCGATCTGATAATAGAACAAAATAAACGAAGGAAACAAGCATAGTTCGCAAGTGTCAATGTCAATCACCGTGGGAGCGTAGCCGTGTGTTCATCGCCGGTACCACGGTGTTCGTGCCGGCGAGCACAAATCTGAAATCTTTAGTAGCGACTCCGTCGGAGTCGCTACTAAACGGACTTTTTGAACTGCTCCGGATCAAGAAAGCGCCCGACTTCCGTTTTTTTTTTTTTTTTTTTTTTTTTTCTTTTTTTGTTGGGACATTGCAAGATGGCAGGCTGCTAAGGAAGCAGACCAAGCGGACGTAAAAGTGATCAATGCCGCGTTACCTTCTCGCCAGAACTGGAGATTGAATTTGAAGCTAACGAAAGCACGCTGGGATTCCATTTCCCATGCATTTTGTCAATAAAGGCAACGTGGGCGTTATTTTGTTTACATGTCACTACTAGAAGCTCGTTACATGGCACGTGAACAGCGTCTCGGTATGCTCGGTAAGGATTATGGCCGGGAAAAAAGGGGAGGGGGGGGGGGCTGCGCCCCCCCCCCTGGATCTCACCAGGGGGGCACGAACCCCGATGCCCCCCCTCCCCCCCCGTAGTCTACGCCTATGCCTGGCACCATGTTGCATTTTGAATAAAACAACGTTTAGGTCTTTAAAACCCACAAGAATTTGTCAGACGTAACTCAATACTATTCTGTGCGACTTGTACGACCACGCAGGACGAAGAAGGCTCTCCTCCTGAAGGAATATCAACAATTCCTGGAAGTCATCGCCAAGAACAAGAAAGTCGAGGTGGAAGAAATCAAGAACAAGTTGAGTTCCTGCGGACCCCCGGCCACGACGAGGACCACGGTACGAGATTTTTGACCCCACGGTATTGAATCGGCTAACAACACACTTACTTGTCCTTGCGGAATGTCTGAAAAGACCCGCATACTCGCATACGCCTCTTTTTCTGAAAGTAAATTGTACGCAAGAAAAAACGAATATTAATTATGACGTTCGGACCGACTTACAGTCACCGTCGTTCACGTGTGACAACATCGTACTCGTAAGATTCAATCCTTCATCTGAAATCATAAGACGACAAGAAAATAATCAACAAAACAAACCGAAAGAAAAAAAAACAACGATAAGCGTATAAGCGAAAACACTATCAATGATGCGACTGGTTCGAGCGATTTTGGAGCACTTTTTGAGCAGCGAAAAACATTTTTGGAGCAAAACCATACTATTCATTCCATTGCGAATACTATGCTAAGATTCATGTGCTGACCTCTCTAACTAGCCTTCTTACTTCTGTGCAACCACATCTTAGCATCCGTTGCAAAGCATAAATGAATTACAAAGGTACTTTAATTACGCACAACAATGGAAGCTTATATGTAAAGTTTTATAATGATGTTTTTTTTTTTCAAAGTTTTTATTTCATCGCTGAAGTTAATTTAGTTTTCATATAAACTTCATTGACTGCATCCATGAAGAGATGGGGACTATTTAGAGGTGTTGACTAAACATACAAATTGAACCTATAGGGCAGGTGAGCTCCACCTTATCAACGTGATTTGTCAACTCTTTCCCGATACGAAAGTTCAAAGTACCCCTTCATTATATCTCAAATTTGAAAACAAAAAAAACAAAAAACGCGATTAATGAATAACAGTACCTGTATTTGGGCTAGTTGATTTGACATTATGAGGTATACTGCGCTGCGAAGTTACACTGAACACGTAAACTATGAGACGATATGGTAGACAGAAAAGCACACGTGGTACATGTGCCTCGTGTTCTTTTCTGTCTACCATATCGCTTCATAGTTTATGTGTTCAGTGTAACTTGGCAGCGCAGTATACGGTATACCTCATAACGACCGATGATGCACGCAATGTGTCAGGATGTCGCTGTATATTTATATAGATGAACCGCAGTTTTATTTTGCAAACGCAAAGTGGATGTCACATCAGCAGCGTGGATCCCCCAAAAAATTCACGAAAAAATATACGTTGGTGAAAAATATGTGACAAGAACAAAACTGCAAATTAGAACTACGAAGTTTTTTCCTAGAGTTTTGGGCTTCGAAAGTGCAGAATGTAGGTCTTGTGATTTCCGCAGTTTTCACTAGTGACACATTTTGGAGTCTCGCAACGTTTAGATAATATTTTTCACAACAATGATAACTTTTTTTACTGCTTTAATACTTTGTATAAGATGGTGTTCACTAGAAGTGTGCTTTTTTTATTTTATTTTATAAAATAAAAATTCTTGAATCTTGCACCTTTGATAATAATGGGCCAAGTTTGAATCGAGCTAGCATTCGATGTACAATTATTTGGGGCATAAGAAACATATCAAATGAAAGCTTGTATATAATCCTATTTCAAAATTATAATATTGTTGATTTAAGTAGTTTATAAAGAAGAAGCTACGCTGTAAATTTGAGAGGAAAAGCTAAAAGTACAATATTCAACGTCATTTTAAGAAAATATATATTTTTTACCGTTTTTTTATAATACAAGCTTTACATGGGGGGTGCTCTTATCAAAGCAAAACAATTTCTTTGACATTTATGGTTTCGTCATATTAAGCAGTGCGTTTGAAAATACATATTTGTAACTCCATTCTACGACGCATATCTCTGTCATTTCATTTTTCACTCAAATATTCGTTATTTTTTAAACATGATCATAGTTTTTATTGGTTCTCGAGTCCATAGAAGTTCGGCAAAACTCAGACATCGATAGTATTTATCGTATAATATGGTAAAGGGTTCTTCCGCACGTGCAGTTTGCTTACTCTGTAAACTATAGAAATCGAAACTGACTTTAATAATATTTAAGCGTTGTCATATGAGATTAGCAAACATGTACAGAACGTTTTAAAAGTCTTTCGTGAGTTAATAGAGCACTTGTGGGGGGAAATTTTCCAAAGCGACGACCCGCCAAGCACGCCAATAAGCGTGCATGCATTTTTTTTGTATTTCTTCTAACAACTTCCTTATGGAACCTCCCAATCTCCGTCTCTTCTATTGTCACTTCTATGTTTACGAAACCCCCCAAACGTACGTTCCATCCAAATCTCGTAGAATGATAAGAGGTGAAATTATCAGTTCTGATAGCGTCGCAACGCTACGGCGCTTGCTTTCGCTTTTCTGCAACGTGCGTGCCTTCCCTACTTCCCCCTCTTTTATACTTTTTTTTTTCTTGTTGAGGCACCTTCAAGGTTCTCGTAAGCTGCATTGCCTATTTTTCTTGATAATGTGGATGCTTGGGCTAGTTGGTAAATCATGCTTGGATGGAACAGCGCGGATACACAGTCACACTCACAGGCACACAACAGCGCTGCGAGTCTGTTTCCTACTTGTGTGCCTGTGAGTGTGATTGTATATGCGTGATGAAAATAATCCCTGGAGAAGGGGAACAAGCGTGCCGTTCCATCCAAGCCTTTTTTTTCTTCGACAGAAAGTGGGAACGAAAGGGCAATCCACGGGCCGAGCTGGAGATAGACATGCCGCCACCCTTTTTAACTCTATGAGTGTCGGATCCCCTTTTTAGATAGCTGTCGTGATTGTTTATTTAGAACAGGCAGGGTCGCTACCAGAGCTAATGTTTATGTGCCGCCGCCTTCCAGAGCGGCAGCCTTTCCCTTTCGTTTTGCTTCACTGGTAGGTTCTATGCTGTCCACATATCTGGTATCGCTTCTCAGTTTGTCAGACACAGTTAACCAAAACCGAGAGAGGGATCAACAACTCTTTGCCTGGCGGCAATATTAAACGTGGGCGACCAAGAACTCAGTATTGAAGACATTAAGAGACTTTGCCTGTATGCTAACTCAACTAAGGTGTGCGTTTTGCTGACCTGTAAGGTGTGTCCAAAAAAGGAATGGTTTAACCCTGCAATCGTTGCCAATGAAGGAAGACGAATAAATCGAAGTAACTTTATGGGAATCTAGCGAACTGCTAAAGAAACAAATGGGAAGTAACGCATTTTGCATTGAGCTAATAAGTGCGTCAAAAAGTACTTCCCCCATTAATTAACCCGACATGCTCAGCGGCTTAGTATAAGCTCAGAAAAGTCGCATCTCAAGGCTGGTACCATCGTACTGCATTTTGATTTTGCGGAAAACTGGAGCGTCGTTCTTCCACGAGCGATACGATGCTTTCATTGGAAGAACCAAATCGTGTCTATCTTCACCTGCGTCGCTCCAGCGGAGCTTCGGAGTTGTCAGCGACGGCATCGTTCAGAATACAGCACACGGACTGTTCGCTCTGTGCACAGTTGAAGAGCGGCAGGAAAAAAAACATTTCGATGTTTACAAAACTTGTCCACATCTCCGACAGGGACGCGAGTAATTAAAAACACACACACACACACACACACACAAAAAAAAACACGTTTTTAGCTATACGAGATGGTGAAGTGACAAGAGTGACAATTGATGTTTTAAGCTACGGGACACGGCAAACATGTGTGTAACGGTGTGGGGAGAGTCCTCAAGTACCAAGCCTCCTTGCACAACCTCAGGTCGTCAGAACTGGAAAACATTGGAAGTGCTGATGATTTTTTTTCGCGTAGTGGCCCCGAAAGTGCCTGGAATTGTACTCCTCAAAAGTGAAGCAGCATGCCTCGCCCAATACCGTGACACAGTAAAAAAAAAAAAATATATATATATATATATATATATTTTTTTTTTTTTTTTGTCTTGCGAAAAACATTCAATCCTACCACCTGTGGATGAGGGCTCAAAAGAAAGACGGGTCTTTCAGGGTTGTGACAAAAAAAAAAAAAAAAAAAAAAAAAAAAAAAGAATCCTCAAGAGATATGGTAACCTCACTTAAAATAACTTTTGCATTTATCACCATAAACGTTACTGTGAGCTTATATCTAAAAATGCTATGTATTGTAATGCATTTCCACTGTTGATCTGCATTCTTTGGTATTGCCTCAAATCAAAAGAAAGTCAAGAAGTTTTAAACGAGCCTCGCTATACTCCGTTTCACCTTCGTACGTCCCGACACAGCGGACGCTCCGAGCTATCGTAGCCAATCCCGTTCTGTGGACGTAGCCCGTGATATGCTTTCCGCCCGTCGCTGTGCCCCCTCTCTCAGGTCACGTGACATTCACAAGGCTTTGGATTGGCCCCGATGGCTCGTAACATCCGCTGCGCTTAAAGGCCGACGACCAGACTCGAGATTCTGCAAGGCAGAAGATCCTCCTCACCATGGGGGAGGGGGAAACCGGCAACGGTAGACAGGGTAGAAGGGGGGAGAGGAGGACGCGGGAGAAAAGTGGAAAGCGCGAACTGGTCGTCGGGCTTTAAAGGGGTACTCCACCGATTTTTTGAGCTACCTCAACTAACTATATTTTCCGACTCCCCGGCCTTTACCCTTTCTGGTATGCTATTTAGAATCCCGAAATTCATAATAGTTATTGCGAAATCGGCAAATGAAAATGATGCAAAAACCAACATTCAAATATACGCGCGCTTTTCAGGGCCGTGACGTCAGTGGCAGGCAGGCCTGCCAGTCGAGCAAGCAGCCAAAAAATAGAATATGCCAATCATTTGTTCCGTGCTGGAGCGCGGGTACTGCAGCGAGCTTCCCAGGCATTCATTTGACACCATGAAACTGCTTCGAATCAGTTTAAAACAAAATCTACAGCCCAAAGAGTGAACCCCTGCCTTCCACTGACGTCACTTTTTCATTGTTGCCAGTAGAGACTTCGAGCTTGAAAAGCACGGTGAGGACAAAAACTGTAAATTCAATAACTTCGCGAAAAAACAATATTTTGACCTAATATTCGGGATACTATTTTCGCGATATTTGTGGGTTAGTTTAGCAAAATTTCAAGCAAATC